GCCTGGAGCTGTTGGGGGATGTAGAGAAGGAAGTTCTGACAATCAGAGCTTGACTGGAGGAGGATGGACCCTGCCTGGAGCAGGCCAAAGGTCAGGCTTCCCTAGGGAAGGGGCACAGGAACCAGGCCTTAGGGAGCATAGAATTTTACTCAGGTTGACTCAGGGCCTCTGGGTCAGAGAAAGGTGACAAATGCTGGGAGGGTAGTACTGTGGGAGAGGCCTAGGCTGCTATTTCCCTGGCAGCCTCCTGGCCCCTCTGAGGGGAGCTCCCTTGCTTCCCAGTTTCCCAGCCCTTGGCAAGCTAGAAAGGGCAGGCTGTTGAGCCGTCCCAAGGTCACTCAGGATGTCCAATAATTGTCCTAACACTTTACCTGCCATGGAACAATAACGAGAGGGTTTTCATTATTTTCGGGTGAGCGCTCCTGGCAGATGCCGACAGCCAGCAGATGTGTAAAGTCCGAGGTGATTTGTAAGGGACCGGCTCATCTGATTCACGGTAATTGCACTGGGCAACGTTGTCACTCAGGAGCGTGTCCTGGTCTGCTGAGATGAGGTAAAGGTCAGTTCATAGATCCAGTTTGGCCCCAGGAAGTGGGGGCAAACCCCACTCCCATGTGGCTCCAGGGGGGTTATCATGCTGAGTGACTCAGAGGGGCTGTCAGGACAGCCAGGGCCCTGCAGAAGTCCCCCTCTCCCCAGGGTTCTTCTGTGTCCCATCCCAAAGTATAACCTGCCCTAGCTGCAGGGACTCTTGCACCTTTTTGGAAGCTCTGCCATCCTAGGCTTCCCTGACATTCTGGAATTCTTGTGTTCTAGGCCTCCCGAAGTCAAACCTGTGACATTAACAGTAGGCCTCATTGAGAGATGATGAGGGTTTCTTTCTTCAGCTGTCTTAGTCTGCTCCGGCTGCCATAAATGGATAGGCCTCATGGTTTAAGTATCAGATAGTTGGGTTTTTTCACAGTTTTGGAGGCTACAATATAAGAGCAGGGTGTGAGCATGGTTGGTTTCTGGCAAGGGCCTCTTCCTGGCTTGTAGGCAGCTGCTATATTGCTGTGTATTCACATAATCTCATTTTTGTACAGGCACACAGGGAGGCAGAAAAGGATAGAAGGGAGGACAAAAAGAAAAAGCCAGCACCAGTGCACTCAGGTGTCTTATAAGGACACCAGTCCTGCTATATCAGGGTCTCCATCTTCTGATTCTTTTTTGCCTTAATTACCTCTTCCTCTAGGCTCTGTTTTTCAGATACAGTCCCATTGGGGCCGAAGGCTTCAACATCTGAATTGACAAAATTCAGTTCACAGCATGGGCCTTTTGAAATCTTACTATTGGTGTTTGTCCCCCTATATTGCACCTTCTTCCCCCAAAGTGCACACACAGGTGCAGTCCACACACGCCTCTGCAGCTTTAGGATGCCCTGGAACAGAGTTGGGCCTACTGGCCCTGCCCAGGGCATGGTGTTTTCATTTGAGGGTTTTTTCATTCCTGGGCCTTTTGCCCAGACTTGCAAAGGCCTGCACACACACCACAACAGACAGCTGTGGGCACGTAGATTTGTTCCTACAAGCTGGATGAGCTGGGTTGTGTCTGTCCCCAGGACCCTCCACTTTCTCACCTCTGGAGTGAGGGTGACATGCCTCATAGGCCTGATTACTCAGTGGGTGGTACTTAGAGAGGCCACCTGCCAGCCAGATATCCAGCCCTGGGGATGTGTGTGAGCAACAACAAACCACCTTCTTCTGCCCTCGGGACATGAGGAGAGATTAGGTCACAGACACTGAGTAGAGACATTGTGCTGCTTCCTGAGAGGCAAGACTCTATATAATGCCCTGTTGATACTTTAGTATTTTAATAATAATAGTGATCACATTTCATTTTTAGTACTTTAGGGTGATGAAGAGAGCACCTTGGAGAGGAGCCAAGAGATCAGACAGGGCCAGTAGTGGCACATCAAAGAGGGCTTGATCGGTGGCATGAAAGAACAGTACGCAGAGGGAGGGCATTACCCATGCATTGCTTACTAGGTTTTCAGAGATGGGCTCCACTTCTAAGACTAGTACTTGGATTTGGAAAACATATTGTTTAGACAAACTGATGTTGCTATTTCAAGCGTAAGTATCCCGAAGTGAGTTGTGTGATTTACTCCTTTCCATCCACATCTAAAGTTGTGTGTGGAGTGACAGATGTGAGGCTCTGCCATCTCACTGCGACACTGATTGTTCACTGTTCTGAGAAGGTCACATCATCATTCATTAGCAATAATTAGTCCCCCAGGACCCCCTGCACTTCTTCGCTCAACTGCTCCATTAACTTGGGTGCATATCACACATTCCAGGCACCAATCAATGAAGATTTACCCATAATGTACAAGGTGATGCTATTAGTTACAATGTATTAACTGCTCCATTTAAAAATAAAAAAACTATCTTTATGAAGGGCAATTAACCAGTAAGTGTAATTGATCATTCATAAACCTCTGATTAGGAAAGACAAATAATAAGAAAGGGATGAATCACCTGATCTGTGGAAGAAGGCATGTTCAGCATCTGGGTCTGTGTTCATTCTGCTGTCAGTTGGTCTACAGATTTCTTCCTAAGTCACCTGGAAGCTCCAGGCCTGGGAGGGTCCAGAGGCTCCCTGAAGCCTGCTTGTTTCTACTGGGGCTTGGGAGGGGGGCTGCAGCCCCAGGGACAGCCTAAGAGAAGCAGCTTGTAAGGTCATTTAGACTTCTCCATCAGTTAGTCATTCAGCAAACACTTACCGGGGTTCTTTCATGCTAGGCACTGGGAATGGCATGGAGAACTGGATGGAGCCCATCCTTTAATCATCATTGAGGGTCAGGTTGTATTAAGAGTCCTCCCTTCCATGCCAGTAACAGGCAGATGCCTGGCTCATCCCTGTCCTCTTCGTGGTCCTTTACTCCAACCTCATTTTTCACTCCATCTTCCATTTCCCCAAGCTTCTGGCATCTTTCCACCTATAGGTTAGAGCCTATTCAACAACCTTCCCACAGTGGTGGGCTACTCTTCCTCTGAGTGGCCTTCAGGACTTTTCTGGGCCTGGATATTCTAGGATCCTCCTCAGAGTCCTCACAGGGGATATGAGCCCTCTCCTTCAGCAGGACAGCTCTGGGAGGCACCAGCTTCTCTTCCCCACACACACTTAGTCCTAGGATCCACATGGTAAAGTAGAAATCAGCCACATTTCCAAGTCTCAGCCTCAAGAGGAACAGAAATCCCTGGACCTTTCTGGGACTCAGTTTCCTCCCCAGAGTAGGATGAATTGGTTGAGTTGAGCTTTTGGTAGGGTCTTACCCAGTGGAGGCTGATTCCAAGTTACAGTTCTGAGCAACTGGATCTACTCTGTATGTCACCTCTAGACTCCTTCGACTGGGGCCACATCACAGTCACGATGTAAACACATTCCTCTTCTATATGTGTGTTTATTAGTAAATTATAAGTTATGCAGTTAAGACTTATTAATGTAGTACTTAGCTTATTAAAAACCTAAGCTTGAAAGGAGATATGAAGAGTCAGAACATCCTCCTGTGGCTTTGGAGGCCAGGGAGATGTACGAGTTTAGGGACATGTGTGAGAGCAGGGCCAGGTAACCGTTAACATTGGTTGTGCTGGGTTTTCTTAAATGTGCCTTCCTGCAGCTGGGGTTTTCCCTGTGACTCCACACAGCAACTCTATGCCAACGCCAGTTATGAGCGCTGTCTTGGCAAATCTAAATTTGTCCAGGCCCAGTTGATCTGGGCCAGGGAGCCAGTGGGGGAGGTCCCAACTGCCACCACCCTACCTCCAGCCTGTGCCTCCTCTGTGTGCAGCCTCCTCCCCGAGGCTGGGCCCTTGCTGGTGGGCACCAGGCTCTCATTCACCTCTCCTTACACAGATGGGCCTTGCCCTGGTTACCTCCCAGTGCCCACTTTTCCTCTCTGCCTTCCCTTTACTCTTGGGTAGTACCTTAGGTCCCAAGGATCTCAGCTTCAGGGTTGCTTCCCCATGGAGGCCAACCCTGACTTTCCACTCCAGCTGGCATTCTTCTGTCTTTTCATTCTGTTTGTATCCTTCTCAGAGCCTCTCCTCAATTGCAAATCACCCTTCCCTTGGAGCCTTCTTGTTTGTTGCCTGCCTCCCACCCCACACCATGGATTGTGACCTGTAGAAGGGGCCTTGCCTATGTTCACAGCTGCAGTTCTGTGTGACTGGCACACAGTAGGTGCTCATTTATTATTTGTAGGAGGGTTGAAGGTCATCCATGTTTGTGACTTTGTGTGCTGTGAACTTGTCCCATGTGTTGCCCGCACGGAAAGGATAGCAGTGCTGCTGGCAGTTCACCCTACCTTGTTGTTGGGTTTACATGGGATTGGAGTCATCTGTCCATTCCAGAACCATCCATCTACCAAATGACTATGTTGGCAAACCTTCCTCACTGACAGCAGTGTAGGGGGCCTCAGCTTCGGCCCCTCTGCCTTTGCCCTTTTTGGGACACATGGACACGTGGTCCCATGATAAGGAATGGATATACAGAGCACAGGTGCAAAATACAAATACTAAGTGTTATAGAAAGTCACAGAGAAAGCTCTGGACATTCCTCGTAAGGCCAAATGGGATGATGTGGTGGAAGGTAAGGGCTGAATGGGTCTTGAGGTGGGGGTAGGATTGGCACAGGTAGAGAGGTAACACGTCCTGGGCTGAGGGTGTGGAGTATGTCCCAGTTAAGGGCACAGGAGGAGAAGAGGGAGCCCTAGGGAGTTCAAGTATGTGAAGTCTAGACAGGATGAATAGGAGGCTCTGGGACATGATGTGTAAGAAGGGTTCTGCCCCAGTTCAGAAATCCCAGTCTGAACATACCTGGGGTCAGTTAGGGCCATCCCAGGGACCCTTACTGATCTTCTCTGCTCTGGGACTAGATCATTTGCCCTAGTATCTAGGTCCCTTTCCCAGAGTCCACATATGCTGACAACACCCTCATCTGGCATTTCCTTCCCTCAGACTGAAGCAGTCCCACCTGAAGGTGAGATTCTGTACCAACGAGTCACAGAAGTCCCGGGGAAAGCTGGTGGGGTTGCTTCAGCGGCTGGGATTTGACATCTCTGAGGGGGAAGTGACTTCCCCAGCACCAGCTGCGTGCCAGATCCTAAAGGAGCAAGGTCTGCGGCCACACCTGCTTGTCCATGATGGTAAGTCTTCTGGGCCTTGGACTGTGTGGGCTCCCAAGACGAGATGGAGGCAGGGAAAATGGCTTGTACTCTGACTGGGACCAACCACAGAGAAGAACATTGAGGTAATACCTGGCTCCTGTCATGGCACTTATGGACCTGTGGGATTCAGACCTCATGGGGCTCCCTACTGGAGATGAGTTGGGACCAGGCCACATTTGTCCTACAAGTTCAGCCAGAGGGTTGTTAAGAGGCCAGTTTCAGATGGTCCTGAGAGGGAAGGTTTAAAATGGCATACTGTGACCTGCACCAGACCAAGGAGCCAAGGAGTTGCCTGTGGGACAGAGTTCTAGTGCCTGTTGAGAGAGAGTCAGATAGTGACAAGACAGAACAAACATGGAAAGCTAGATTGAGGTTTGTATCTTTCTAAACTCTGGCACTGTAGCCTTGAACAATGATATCCAGCCTTGCTCTTTGGGGGCAGCTTGACAATGGCTCTAGGGACAAAGTTTGCATCCTGAGTTTTTAGTATGAATGCAAGACAGGGACTCTTTTGATTTTCAATGGGAAAGTTTTAGAGGCCAAAGCAGAAACAGCAGTATTATAAGTATCCTAAATAGTTAAAAAAGAAAGACTTGAGCAGTGCATTAGAATTTAGGATGCTTTTCTTTCCTTCCACTGAGCATTCTTCCTTCTTTCCTCTGCATTTTATTTTTATTTTTAAAATTATAATGTAATAGTAGATATTAATAAAATATAAAAACACTTATTTCTGTGAAAAATTAAAACAAACTTTCATAACAAAATAAGTAGAGAATAAGAATGGTAAATATACTGTGCATCATGATCTTAAAAGAATGGCCAAAAATGTTACTGAGAGTACAAAAAAAGATCCTCTCTTACCAAAAGGAATGAATGAAAGAACAAAACTTTCTTCTCAGTGAACAAAAGAAACTAGTAGTATAAATGAAACAAAGTAGCATTTATTGCACTTGATTTTTATTTTTACAAATCACTTGGCAGAGGCAGGCTGCTTTTCTCCTTCCCAGAGCAGCGGTGGGGCTTTCAGAGGTGGAGGGTGCTTCCCAGAAAGCTCAAGGGTCAAATTCATGCCCTACTAACAGTTAAGGGCATCATGCCAACCTTTGGGGACCTGCTTCTCAAAGTCCTTTCTCTGTAGTCTAGGGCCCCTGCCAGTGGTCCTCTAGAATGTGGTCCTCATGGAAGAAAAGCCTTAAGGAATTATGTCTCCTTCGACTCCAGAAAAGAGTTACTGGTTATGGGAGTAGAAATGGAAGAGGCAAGGAGCTGAGGAAAATACAGCATTTGCCTCTATGGAGGTGTTAATCAAAGAACTGAACCAAGAGTGGGCAAAGCTTGAGAGGGCCGGAAGGGAAGTCAGTTGTCCTTACCGGGCTACCACCCTGCATCTGTGTTTCCATAAATAGACCTGTGTTTTCAGAGTTTGAATTTTTTCATGTATTATGTTTGATGGGTTTTCCTCTAATGCTTCATTTTGAAAAATTTTCAAACATGTAGCCAAGCTCAAGGAATTTTACTTGGAATCTTTTTATATCCACCCCTAGATTTCATCAACAACTCTTCCCTATATATTTATCCATTCTGCCATCCATCCATCTGTTATTTTTTTTGGATGCATATCACATAAATTGTAGTCATTGATATATGTCCCTTAAACACTTCAGCATATCATTAACTAGAGTTCAATATTTGTTTTAAGTTTATCTTTTGATGTAAAATTGACACACAGTGAACTGCTTAAACCTCAAGTGTACTTTTGCTGAGTTTTGACAAGTGACACCTGTGCAACCCAACCCCATCAAGGTACAGAACAGTGGTGGCGAACCTATAGCACATGTGTCACGGAGGGCTGTCTGTATCATTGAGAGCTCTAAAAGGTTTGCCATCACTGGTCTAGAACATCATTATCACCTGACATATTCCCCAGGCCCTTTGCAGCCAGGCCCCTACCTTCTTTCCAATAGGGACAATCATAATTTTGATATTTTCCATTATAATTAAGTATACCTATTCTAGAATTTCCTATAACTAGAGTCATGACAAGCCCCCTCCCCGACTACTCACAAGCTTGATAATTCCCTGGAACGGTGCACAGGACCCAGGAAGGCTGTTACACCAGGATTAAGTCTATTGCAGTGAAAAAACAGACTCGGCAAGGGGAGGAGACACATGGGGCAAAGGCCATGAGAAACCAGGTGTGAGGTCCCTTTGCCTGGGAGGTACTTAATTGTTTCAGCAGTGATGTGTGACAACACATGTGAAATGCTAGCAGGCAGGGAAGCTCAACAGGCCTTCAGCATCAGGGGCTTTTATTAAGGATCACTCATGTAAGCATGACTGGCTTTAGCTACTTGATCTCCAGAGAGAGATTAAATGGATACAGCATGGCCCCAGGCGTCAGTCATACAGACCCTCTTACCAGGCAGGATGCTGCAGGGCCCAGAGGTTCCCTCCAGAGCTGGTGGAGGGCTGGTCCTGAGGATAGGCCCTTTCTCAGATGTGCAGGATTTGAGCAGGCCAGGGCTCTCAGTCAGCCCTTTCTTTTACACTGGTTTTTTGTGTAAAAGCTTCTTTCACTATCATGTTTTTGACACTTACAAATTGTTGCATGTATCTGCAGTATTTTCCTTTCTGTTATAGAGTAGTATTCCACAGACTGAGCTACCAGTGTGTTTGTCCATTCATACGTTCATGGATACCTGACTGTTTTCTAGTTTCAGGCTATTATGAATACATCTGCAGTGAACACTCGTGTGGGTGGAGAAGGGTAACAGTAATGTTTTGGCTCTTGATGGGGATTGCATTAAACATTGGATAAATACCTAGGAGGAGAATTGCTGGGCTACAGGGGGCATATATGTTCAGTTTTATAAGAAATTGCCAGCCCTTTTCCAGAGGGGTTGTGCTGTTTTATACTCCATGAGCTGCTGTACCTGCTCCATGTCCTCATCATCCCTTGGCATTATCAGTCTTCTTGCCATTTTGTGAGTAGGTAGTAGACTCATTGTAGCTACTTCCTTTTTTCTTTTTGTAGTAGCAGAGATTGAACCCAGGGCCCTCATGCTGACCTACATCTCCAGCCCATGTTTTATTTTGAGACCAGTTTTCACTAAGTGCTCAGGCTGAGTTCATACTTGTGATTCTCCTGTCTCAGCCTACCACAGTGCTGGAATTATAGGCATGTGCCATCACACCCAGCACTACTTCTGTTTTGTTTTGTTTTGTTTTTTCACTCCAGAAGGTCAATATCTAATACCAAGAGAGATGGGAACATGTTTCTTCTAGGAACTGAAGATATAAAGGCAATGACTTTATTCTTGCAACTTTCCCTACATTAATTGAAAATGGAGGAGGGCAAGAAAAAGACCTTCTCAAGGGGGCTGATGAGTAGCTGGGTGGGGCGAGATCCTGCTCCTTCTCAGAATGTATGTGTCAGTGGCTTACAGTTTGGGGCCAGCCATGACAACCCTCAGGGTTGTGAGCAGCGTTGTTTCATCATGCTGCCAACAACCTGTGTCCTCCAGCAGATTTTTCCTCTTTGTTGCAAAGCTGTGGACTTCTTTTATCAGCAGTGAACTAAGGAGCCCCTGGGCTAATGCTGGTGTTGGGTTGCAGGTTCTTGGGAGTGAGTCCATCTCTCTTCTAACATGCTGTCTAACTATGGGGGCCAAGAAGTTCTCTACCTGTCTGGTGGTAATAACATCCCTTCCTTATCCACCTCCCATTGTAACTGTGAGGATCAGAAAGGAGTAGTTAGTACCTGTTAAAATTTAATTGATTTAATAAAAAGAGAAACAGACATTTTGTGCCTCTGAGAAAGGGGCAGGGCAGATATAACAGATGGGAACTGGGAGTAAAGTGTGTCATCCTTGGCCTTGATTGCAATCTTTTTCTCTCTCTCCAGAAATCCTCTCAGAATTTGATAAAATTGACACATCCAACCCAAACTGTGTCCTGATTGCAGATGCTGGTGATGCCTTTTCCTATAAAAACATGAATAAAGCCTTTCAGTTGCTCATGGAACTGGAAAATCCTGTGCTCATATCACTAGGAAAAGGGTAAGTCAGCGCCAGGGACAGTCATTTCCAGTTGCTTTGGATGATGCTTTGTGATTCTCTTGACACCTTTGTAGCCAGGTGGTATGAAATGAGCTCAGGGCAGCTTTCTCCCCTCTTCTTGCCTCTCTTGTTTTCCCTCTTCATTTCATCCTTCTTTCAATGATTTTTTTAAGGAAAACAGAATATTCTATCCTCAGAAGCTGATGATCAAGCTTCCGTGTGGATCCTCGGCTGGGAGGCGGAAGGAGGGGGCAGGGGACACCATTGCAGGAGGAGACCCTGTGGAGATCTCAGGGACCAGGTGTGAACTGTGCCAAGTTTGGAGTACAGGAAAAGTAGACTGGCCAGTATATAGCACAGGATATTGAAGAATGGTCGCGGGGGACACTTAAGCAGTGGCAAATTGGCTTGAGGGCTTGAAGTTTGCTCTGATCTGGGCTGCAAGTGTCTCTGATTGCAGAACACTGTCTCTGTGAATTTCTGATTTTGTAACTAGCACCTTGTCTGATCCTTCAGCACATGCCTCATCATCTGTGTTCATCTGCTTTCCATTCTGATGACACACACCTGAGATAAATCAACCCAAAGGGAGAAAGGCTTATTTGACTCACAGTTTTGGAAGTTTTTACTCTGTGGTCACTTGACTGCATTGCTTTTGGCCTGTAGTGAGGCAGCACTTCATGGTGGAAGGATGTGGTGGAAGAAATCTGCTCATCTCATGGTTGCTGGAAAGCGAAGAGAGAGAGTGGAAGCGGCAGTCCCAATATCTTCTTCAAGGACACGCCCCCAGTGACCTAACTTCCTTTCACTAAGCCCTGCCTCCCAAAGGCTTCACTGCCTCCTACAGCACCATCAGTGGGGGACCAAAACTTGGGCACATCAGCCTTTTACAGGACATTCAAAATGCAAACCATAATACCATCTTTTTTTTTTGGAAAGCGAAGAGAGAGAGTGGAAGCGGCAGTCCCAATATCTTCTTCAAGGACACGCCCCCAGTGACCTAACTTCCTTTCACTAAGCCCTGCCTCCCAAAGGCTTCACTGCCTCCTACAGCACCATCAGTGGGGGACCAAAACTTGGGCACATCAGCCTTTTACAGGACATTCAAAATGCAAACCATAATACCATTTCTTTTTTTTTTTTAAAGCAATGTTTGGTTATTTTTCCTAACATCTTTTCCTACTGCCAAGATAGAACATGTTCTTTGTAAAGAAATTAGAAAATGCAGGTGAGTAAAAGAAGAAAACTAAAAGGTATTTTCAGCCTCACTGCACAGGGAAAACAGTGTTAACATTTTGGTGTATGTCCTTTCAGATGGATCCTTCCAGGTAGATGTATTCACAGCACTGGTATCAAACTTGACCTTGTTTATCACCTGTTGTTAATTGTGCACCAAACAATTTTGTGAGTGACTTTGCACATGATGAGTGGGTATCTCTGTGACACAGTTATCCATCATGTGGCTGTCCTGCAGTTTAACCCGTCCTTGTTGGTGGACATTAAGGTTGTTTCTGATTTTCTATTATAGTAAAAGCTGTGCAGTGCAGCTTTGTACACTTAGGTGATGTCATAAAGGGCTGTTCCAGAGTGAATATTTTTGAGGTTCTTGATGGATGTCACCCAGTTGCTTTCTAGAAAGCTGTGCTAATTTACCCTGTCATCAACAGAAACAGCACTAAAATTTTAGATTCATGGGCTCTAATGTTGCAAGGACATTTTGGAGTCCCTATTCAGCTTCTCAGTGCAGGAATTCTGAGGCCTTCTCTGAGGAAGTATTTCCATCCTTGGTGCTTCTAGTGACTGGGCACTTACAGCATCTGGCTGCTGACCAGCTATTTGAGTAGACAGGGAAGGACCTCTGATCTGGCCACTGGCATGACAAATCAGTTGATGTGCACTCCATTTGATTGATTCTCACTACAGCCCTGGGAGCTGGAGGCAGTTGGGGCATGGAGAGGTAAAGTAAGAAGCCTTGGTTCCCCAGGTGAGCTGGTACCACCAGGAGTGCCACCTTGTCTAGCCAACCCTAGCACCTCTCCTTATCACTTCTAGATTACATTCTAGAGCAAATATTTGATGCACTGAAGATCTCAGATAATTTTGAGCGTGTGTTTAAAAATTGGAAGATTTTATATAATAATCCAGATTTCTGAATTCGTTTGAACAATCAGAAGGTCTGACAGAATTACACTCCACATTCCTGGATGCACAGCAGCTTGTCTGGAGCCAGTACTTTCATTGATTCCAGTTTACCACAGACCCCACCACTCCTTATTTGTCCTGTCTCCAAGCTTCAAAGTCAGTTACCATTTATTGTCTGCTGTTTTGTTTCTCTCACAATAGAGAGATGTATTTCATCCTGCTATGTCTCTATCAAAAATAGTCCAATGAAAGCTATTTCAAGAAAGAAAAGGTAGGATATATTTATTCTTAGAAACTAAAAATTTTTCTGTGTCATATAAATAAAAGAGGTTCTGCATAATAGTCAGTGTTCTCCAGAGAAATAAGAACCTATAGGATGTGGACACAGATAGGGAGATTGATTCATTGTGGAGGCTTGGTATGTTAATCAGCTTTGAGTTGCTAGGGCAAAATACCTAAGAGTAACAACTTAAAAGGAGGAAAGGTTTATTTTGGCTCATGGTGTCAGAGGTTTTAGGCCATGATTAGCTGGCGCCAAAGCAGGAACATCATGATGAGAGGGCATAGCAGGGGAAAATTATTCACCTTGTGTCAGGTTGGAAGCCAAAAAACAAGGAGTCAGGCAGAATGGAAGAGGCCAGGTACCGCTTATAGCGAACCTTTTAGAGCTTTCGATGATATAAACAGCCTGCTGTGGTACATGTGCCATAGGTCTGTCATCTTCAATGATACACCCCAGTGACCTAATTCCTCCAACTGTAGCCCACCTCCTAACAGCCCATTCAGCCGTGCACTCATCAGTGGATTAACCCATTAACATGGACAGTGCCCTCATGTAGTCACCTCTCTAGGCCACACCTCTCAACATTGCTGCATTGGAGATCCAGCCCTCAAAACATGAGTCTTTGGGGGGATGCTTCCTGTCTAAACCATAACAGGTATAAATCCAAAATCTGCAGAGTAGGGCTAGCAAGACAGACACTTAGGCAAAGCTCGAGTCCCAAGGCTGTCTGTTGGGCAGGATTCCTTCTTGCTCAGGGGCAATTAGTCTGCTCTGTTAAATCCTCCAGCTGATTGGATTTGACCCAGCTACAGTATGAAGGGTAATCTGTGTCCCTCAAAATCCCCTGATTTAAATGTTGATCTCATTCAAAAACATCTTCACAGAAATATCTAGAATCATTTGATCACCTGTCTGGTCAACTATGGCCCAGACACACTGAAATATAAAATTAAACATCATGGTCCCTCACAATCTTTTGCAATTTCAGTCACTAATATGAGACCCACCACAGTCCCTGGCTTGCTTACTTCACTCTGTGCTGGGGCTGTGAATACTGCATTTTTAACCCCACACCAAACAACAAGCAGAATGGAAAAGCTGTATTATCACTTATTTCTGTTAAAAATTTTCTTTAAAGTTGTCTCTTAATTATTAAAAGTTCTTCTTTCATATTATGGATAACAGTCAAAATAGGTATATTACTGAAAAGAACAAAAGGGATCAGTCGCTCTTGGCTATGTAATATTGCAACAGATGCAGCAGTAGGCCAGGGTTTAGTAAGAGATGAGCAGGGTCTCTAGCAGGTGAATTTTGACTTGGGTTATGGGGGGGATGTTTAAAAACTGGAAAAAGGACTTGACAACTTCAGTGAGATCACAGCTTCTCCAGGCAGCCCGAGGGAACGGAAGAAGCTGTTGTCGCATACTTCTTCACTGGAGGACCACCGGTGAGGGCATACTGCCACCGAAGAGTCAGGAGTGGTGGTGGGGCTGGGGGCAGGATTTCCTCGTTCTAGAAGTGGAGTGATTTACATTTGGCATCTGTTTGGACCCGAGAGTGGGAATTGGCTTTGTAATTTCTTCTGTCATGCCGCTGTCAGAAAATTAAGCTGTTTATGCGACAGACTATGGAAGGTTAATGGCTCTTCTGGGAAAGGTCAAGTGGTCATTTTGAAGGGAGGCTGTGCTGAATAATCGGAATCGAAAGGAGAATAAAGCATAAAATCAGATCTGACTGATTCTCCCTGCTTGTCCTGTTCTTTCTAGTATCTAAAGTTCCCCCTTTGCAGCTGCAACATGCAAGGCCTGTCCAAGGCTGCTGTAGACTATATTATGTCAGAAGCGAAGGAGAAGCATATCCAATCTCTAGAGTATGGAAAAGATTAAGTACTTTTATTTACTATACCTTTAAAAAATGTTTTTGCCAAGAATTGACCTTTTATTTTCCCGAATTAATAAAAAATAGAGAAGACTTGACAGGTTTTATAAAAACCAGGCCAGGGCTGGGTTAATAAAAGAAATATGAAAGGTCTTAATTTCGATTTTCTGGAGTCTGTGTTCTCTTTCGACTCTAAAGATTAGCATAACAAAGACAGTTTTGTTTGTGTATTCCAAGTTGCACCTTCAGTTTTTTCCCATCCAGGGCTAAATTTAAAAGCAAGAAAGTCCAGGCATCTTTCTTGTTAAAGAAAGATTCAGGGGAATCTGAGGCCATTAGAGTTGCACCCTGGACATCTCCTAAGGAGGGTTTTTCTAAACGAAAAGGGCTTGCTTCACTCTGCCTACTATTCCATCTCCTTCCAAGCACCCAGAGTTCTCAGCTCCAGACTACTGCACTGGTCACAATGGGTGGGTTTGTTTCAGGCAGTTTCCCATTGCTGCTGGGTAGGTGTCTCCAGTGTTTCACGTAGTCTTTCTTCACCACCAGCTAATTCTTACATGTCATTTCCTTAGGGAGGCCCTCCTTGTCCCCCGTGGTTCTTTCCTCTGGCCACCCACAGACCTCTTCATATGAGACCAAGGGGGCATGAAGGGCAAGGGAACAAAGGTCTTGGCCTCTGAGGGCCTGTTGCAGACCCTTTCCCAGGGCAATGTGGCCCACCATGGTTCTCAGCAGGATGCTCTGCGTAATTCCAAGATGGATCCTGGGCCTGGATGCTCCTCTCCTACTTAGCTTGGTAATCTCCTCCCCCTTCAGGGCTCTACTTCAACGTTTCTTCTGTGCAACACCCCTCTGTGTCCCTGCCCTCACCTGTCTGCTGCCGGCTCAAGCAGGGTACCACAGGCCATGTTCCTTTATCATGCCTGTGTCCATCCCTTTTAATTTGTTTGTGGACCTGTCTGTGTCCCCACTTCAGTGGGAATTCTTGGGGTGGGAGGGCCTACCCATGTTTGGAAGTATCTCTGAGTCCCACAACAGACCTGTGGAATAGCTGTGTCGGTCACTGGCTGAGGGAAACTGGCCCAACCAGCATCCTTCCCAGCCACCTATATTTCATCATTCACTGTTTCTTTAAAACTAGTGTGTTAGAAACCCAAAATATAAATACAGAGCAAAATAAAGGATAGACATAGGACATAGGGAGTTAGATCTTTTGTAGATGAGAAGGGGACCAAAAGTGGAGGGAGAGGAGAGGGAAGGATGGGGAGGGGAGGAGGATGAAAAAAGAATTAAGGAGTGTTATGTACATGTACCAGTTCCTTATGAAGAATGTAATCATTATGTACTGCAAGCATGAACAGATAAAAAAATTAAAATTGCAAAGAAAAAATTATTTTTAAAAAACCCTCTAGATCTGGCTAAGGAAATTGTCATAACAAAGTAGTTTATTTTGTTATTTTTGTCCATACCTCACAGTAATACATGAGGTAAGTTGTTTGTTTTCTTCATTTTGCACATTAGGAAATTGAGGCCCAAAAGTTTAAGCAGCCTAAAATCACTATTGGAAAGCAAAGAGAGGATGTGGATGCTGAAGTCAAGCTGCTTCATGTCTCTCTCTGTCTCATCAAATGCATTGTTAATGTCCCTAAATCTGAAGGGCAGGGAATAGGAGAAGAAAAACTGATGTGGATGGCAGAACACCAATAATTCTACAATCAGATCCCTGTCCTTCTTGAGTTTCATTGAACCCTGTGTTTAGAGCAGCATGGGAAAAGCCACCTTCTCTCCTAGTAGTCTGGTGGCCTTGCTTAAAGAGCCTGGGATTGGTCCACTACGTACCCAGGACCACGTCTGCCCCAAGGCTCACATGGCTGCCCCAGAAGGCCTGACATGGGGTGGACTGGCCAGGGTGTGGGGCTTCAGCTCAGCCCAGCTGCTGGGCAGCACCACAGTACTCACGGAAGTGATGCAACCATCTGAGGAGGAATGCTCCTGTGAGCTGAGCCCTCCCCAGCCTCCATCACATGGCATGACATTCCTGACTTCTCACAGAAGCATCTGGCGCCCATGAAACCTGGCACCTCGCTTGACCTCGGCTAATAGGCGATGCAGCAGGGTGATGTGGAACTAATGGAGTTTTCTTCTTTGGTCAGCAATTAGGGGTTAATTATTAGCAATTAGGGGTTTAACACATGTTCCTTGGGCCTGCTGTTCCTACGCAACACACAGGTCACTTATTTTCATCTGTGTTAGTAGCTGGATCTGTCTCTCCCCAGGGGTTCCTAGTTAATCATTGTGTGGGGTCCCTTCGAGGCTGGCAGCAGGGGCCACTCTGGATGGCCAGAGCTGCTGTCCCACTGGGCTCTGCTGTGCTGATCTCCATTGGTCACTTAAGATGCTATCACTTACACCCATGGCTCAGATCACCTTTTCCCCTCTGCTCTCTTCTAGACGCTACTACAAGGAGACCTCGGGCCTGATGCTGGATGTTGGAGCCTACATGAAAGCACTTGAGGTACTGACCCTGGCTCTGTCCCAGCCTCTTCAGGGCAACATGCTGACAGTATTTCAAGACTTTCTGGAGAAGAGGGCATTCAAGGAGCCTTGGTGGTTTCACAGCAGACCCTCCTGTTTGGGCTTCTAGCCATTCATTCCTTGGCTGCCTCCTCTGTCCCCCTCCCCACCTGCTCTGCCGATGTACTCTCCCAGCACACTCTCTGTCAGTCCTCTTTAACCGATGGCTTCCCTGTCTGTGCTGACCACTTGAGCCTCCTTCCTGACCCTGGTCATCTGCAGTACCTCATACTTGATTTATCCTTACTGACCTCCTCCCCAGTCCTTGCCTCCAGTCACAAGGCCATCTATGATCAGCCTCTGGCTCCACTCTCACCCCTGTCTCTTCAGCTGCCTGGGGCTCTTGTCCCAGGTCAGTTCTGGTCACACCCCACCCTCACACTGTAGTAATTCCTGCCTGCCTGTACTCAGAGGGGTGAGATGAGAAGATGGTGAGAGGTGAGGGTGGGGCCCTGGACTTCTCCTAGGTGGGTCTGTGATAGAACTAGAGGTAAGGGTTGGGGGTGAAGCAGACAAGTGAGTGGATTTGCAGCTGAGAAAGCAGACGAGAACCCTGGTCCCCTGGCTCAGGCCTTCTGGCTGTTACCAGCGCAATGCCTGCTATTGTGGTGGATGGGCCTTCGAGTGGGTGGCAGCCCTGGTGGTGGATGCTGCAAGCATCCCAAGAAGCCCCTTGTGGACTCATGATGTTCTTGCCCATGAGACATTTCTCAGGCCCACAGTGTCCCCTCTTGTCAAGGCCTGACCTTGGGGACACATTGAGGCAGTCTTTCCATGGTTGGATGGCCACCTGTTCTTGATCCCAGATTCATGCTGTGTCTCTCTCTCTCTCTCTCTCTCTCTCTCTCAGTACGCCTGTGGTATCGAAGCCAAAGTGGTGGGGAAGCCTTCCCCAGAGTTCTTCAAGAACGCCCTGCAAGTGTTGGGTGTGGAAGCCCACCAGGTAGGAACAGGCAGAACTTGTGTTTTTATTGTGAGAAATTTCAACATATGCAGAAAATGAAGAGAACAAGACAGTGTCCACCATGTGTTTCAAGACCAGATTGTTTTTTTTTTTTTTTTTTTTTTTTTAGGGAG